AGAAAGACAGGAGGATGGTGGGAAGGGAAAAGCCGATTCTTTTGGGCCTAGAAACCACGTATTACGATTGATTCATAATCCAACTATCCTCATAAAAGTCGCAAATGCTCTATTCTTCAAAAGAAAAAAAGGCCACAAACACTCCAAGAACAATTTGAGCTCGAGTCCAAAACTTAATATTCAACAAAAAAAAAAAAAGGCGACATCTTTTATTTGTATACTGAAATTTCCCATCAAACGAATAAATTCTGAAGTATTGCTTTATTAATTCCATTCTCAATTCAAGCTGAAAGCCCCCCCTCAACCACTGGAATGAAAGGAATTGAAAGAGGGTTGTTATGGAGTGTAGTTCAAGTCGTCGGAGTGCGGGCATTTCCGTAAATTTAGCATCGCAAGTCGCCCATCAAGTGGGGGTCAATAGAATGATGGCCCAATAGGAAAGATGAAGAGAGAGAGAGAGAGAGAGAGAGAGAGAGAGAGAGAGAGAAGAACATTCACAAGAATATCCCTCGGCGCGTTGTTACGGTGATTTCGAGAACTCCCAATTTTTCTTTTAAAAAATTATTCAAGTTTTGAACTTTCCATATTCTATAATATTTAGAAAATGAAAGGGGGAAAAGATCAACCAAAATAATCTACACAGGCTAAAGCTTCTACTTTAACGACTCGAGCTCAGCCGTACTCAGCAACAACCCAGTTGGCCAAAGCCGATGGGTTTTATAAGGAAAACAAACCAAACCATCAAGTAAACAAGATATTCATTAACTAGGCAGACTGAACTTGGTAATAAAAAGGATTAACGAGGAAGTTAAAGAGAAACTTGCCTGAGCCAGGAGCTGGGTGTTGACCAGAGCCGAAGCCAGTAAAGCAGCTAAACCATGACTGGCGCAAGCGAGTGAGCCAGCACCGAACGTGACACCTGCGGAAGCATTTGTTATCTCCATTCGCGCGGCGACTTGTTCCCTGCAAATACATCAAAAGGGAACCAAAAAAAAAAAAAAAATCTGATGAGAGAGCTGGCCACCGTGAGATCTGTCCCCAAAAACTTAAACAGCCATTAAAAGACTGAAAATCATAACAAAACACCAACTCCATCGGAAATTCTCTCAGTCCCTCAGTCTCTCAGCCAGCCCCCTACCGTGTTGATTCGGTAGTTTCTACCGCTTAGGGTTCGACCTTGGACTATAAATCCAAAAAGGCCCATTCTATGATATATATTCAAATACCATTTAAAAGCAGAGGAAGTTTTCTGACGCATCCACTTGAAAGAAAAGAGGCGTCGTCTTTCAGTGAAGCACAAACTCTAGAGTCCATAAAGTCAACGGTGAATTCAGCTCAAAAGTGGCAAAAACAACAGGTAAACAAGAAATGAAACTCCGCATTCATAGTAAAACAGCAAGAAACCACAGAAAATTCAGTAAAACCATCGACAAACGACCTGGAAACACTAGCAGAGTGAAGAACAAGCAAGGAAGCTGAAGAAAAAAGCAGAAAACAAGAAAAGATGAAAGAAATCAAGCAGAAACAGATAGAGAAAGAAAACAACAAAGAATTGAGAGCAAAATCATACCGAGAAGACAGATCAGAGCAGGGAGATGGTAGATCTGGACGTATCGGGATCTAAAACCACAGAAAAGAAGCACGAGAAGCAACGTTCATTGTGGACCGTCCGATCGAGATCGAAAAGACACAGAGAAAGGAAGATAAGGAATTATCGGCGGCTCTCAGAGAAGGGTGAGAGGGAAGGAAGGGGGGTAGGGTGGGAGTAGGGGAAGTGAGAGAAACGAGAGCGATTACTGGAGACCGACTGCCCGTAATTTTCCAGTCCGGTATCGGGCAGATCGGGCAGCGTCGTAATCTTGTAAAAAAGACCGCGTTTTAAGCTGCCCAATGAGCATCTATGGACAGGTGTGGGTTCGGATAACTTTTCTCATCAATTTTCCCTTTGGTCCTTTTATTTTTTCGTTTCTACTTTTTCAGCAACTGGGTTTCCATTTATTACACAACCTCCCCCAACAAAAACTGCTTTTTTTTTTTCCTTTTTTTTTTTTTTTAATAAACCATTATTTAAAAAAAAAAATCAAATTAAAAGGAAAAGAAAAAATGGTGTCATCAGATCAGACTCGGTCTTCAAGGAACTCGTAGTTGTTGATAATAAATTAATTTTATATTAATGAATAAAATAAAGATATTTAATTAATTTTAGAAAAACCGATGGGCTTAGATTTTCAACAAGACTGTGGTATGGGCCTTTCCAAACTCAGGCCCAATTATCCGCACTCTTGAAGGATGAATACTCCAGTTTAAGCAGATTTCTACAATAAAATCGATAGGAAGGACATACCTGGTTTTCTCATGCACGAACTTAAAGAGTTTTCCCCCTTTTCCGCCCGTCTCTTTAGTTTTAAGAATGTTAAACACAATATGCCGACGACTTATTATTGGGAATCGTGGGTGCCGTAGAGCTTCTCATAGAAATACAAAATCGCCCACTTCCTACCATCCGGCTGAACCTTTGGGTAGGCTTTGCAGGAACAACAACGATAACCTTTAGGTAGGCTTTGCAGAACAACAACGATAACCTTTAGGTAGGTTTTGCAGGAGCAACAACAATAGCTGCACAGTTCAGAATGACGTTCGCCTTGACTTTATGTATCAAATATTGTGCTCTTTAGATTTTCTCTCGGGATCTCACAGAAGAAGTTTCCAAGCTTACGGCTACCAGTAGTCTTGACAAGAACAGGAACCATCCTTAAAATGGAGAAACCAAGTAGCATCACTAACAGTGATTTCCCTTCCTACAAGCTTGGAAATGAACTTTATAACAGAATGGCAGTCATTACAAACTGGGTTTTTCATAATTCTCAATTGAAGTCCTGTTACGCTCAATAATCAATCAAGCTATTTCTACCCATCCTAACACTGCATACATTTGATATCAAAGCATTGCCAACTGCTTCAGAAGTTTCAGTTTCTGTTCTTATAATATAAGCATGTAAACATTTGATAAAACGCTAGCCAAGGTGAACTTATCATACCCTGAAATCGTCGAATTCCAAGAAACTATGCCCAGATTGCATGTACAATGAAATCAAATCATTCCAAGTTGAAATGTTCTTCAGCATCATCCTGTTAAAAACAACTGGATCTCCACATTTTGCGTACATATTCAGCAGGGAAGTCGCAACAGAAGCATAGCTACCGAGTCCGAGTTTAACAACAAATGAATGAATCTTCCTTCCCACCAACGTCTAAACAGTGATTTGCCGCGCAGGAAGAAAGAACATTACCAACCGTGAATTGAGACGGTGAGACTCTCTCAGAAATCATCTTCGCAAACATCCAAATAGCAGCATCTCATCTAAAACACCTAATTGATTGTACACCACGATGATCCCAGTCCAAGAAACGGGATCGCAATCAGGCATTTCATGTAGAAGGCGACACGACGACGCATCGACATTGCCCTATTTGGCATACGCAGAGATCAAATTGTTCCATGAGAATGTTCTTAACGGACATTTCATCGAACACATGGTGCGCATCGCTGAATGACCCAGTTTCGGCATAGAACGTCGTAAGATTCTTCAACAACTACACGCCAAGATGAAGGCCTTTCTTGATTATTTGAGAGTGAACGGACCATCTGAATCTCTAATCTCTAAACCCAAGGGACGGGTCTGATCACTAATCTCAAACCCTTCCCTTGACGATTGTGTTTAACATTTTCTAAACTCCCTTTTAATTAGCCCATATTCTCTAATTGTATGTTGAATAGATTTAATTAACCTAAAATCCTCTAATAAAATTTGTAATTTATCTAATGATATATTAGTTTCTTTTGATTTAATTAATTAGTAAATCAATTCTACCCATTTATTTATTAATATTCTAAAATTAATCAGTGATTTCTATTATTTGAAGTTATAAACAGCCATTTTCTAGGCTGTATTTGGCAACTTTTAAAACATTATTGAGATGAAAAAAAAGTGATTTTTTATTTGTGCTTACGTGACGTCCCAAATTGGTTGGAGAGGAGAACATGGAAATGTTCTCCTAGTAGATGCATTTTAACGCCTTGATGGAAAGTTCAAAAGGAAAAGCCCAAAGTGGAAACCTTCCCCTAACAGACGCGTTTTAACGCCTTGACGGAAAGCTCGAAAGGGAAAGCCCAAAGTGGAAACCTTCCCCGCCCAAAGTGGAAACCTTCCCCTAACAGACGCATTTTAACGCCTTGAGGGAAAGCTTGAAAGGAAAAGCCCAAAGTGGAAACCTTCCCCTAACAGATGCGTTTTAAAGCCTTGAGGGGAAAGGAAAAGCCCAAAGTGAAAACCTTCCCCTAACAGACGCGTTTTAAAGCCTTGAGGGGAAGGGAAAAGCCCAAAGTGGAAATCTTCCCCTAACAGACGCATTTTAACGCCTTGAGGGAAAGCTTGAAAGGAAAAGCCCAAAGTGGAAACCTTCCCCTAACAGATGCATTTTAAAGTCTTGAGGGGAAAGGAAAAGCCCAAAGTGGAAACCTTCCCCTAACAGATGCATTTTAAAGTCTTGAGGGGAAAGGAAAAGCCCAAAGTGGAAACCTTCTCCTAACAGACGCGTTTTAAAGCCTTGAGGGGAAAGGAAAAGCTCAAAGTGAAAACCTTCCCCTAACAGTTGCGTTTTAAAGCCTTGAGGGGAAAGGAAAATCTCAAAGTGGAAACCTTCCCCTAACAAACGCGTTTTGAAGCCTTGAGGGGAAGCTCAAAAGGAAAAGCCCAAAGTGGAAACCAGCTCAAAAGGAAAGCCCAAAGTAAAAACTTTCCCCTAATAGACACGTTTTAAAACCTTGAGGGAAAGCTCAAAAGGAAAAGCCCAAAAGTGGAAACATTTCCCTAACAGACGCGTTTTAAAGCCTTGAAAGGAAGCCCGAAAGAAAAAACTTAAAGAGGACAATATTTGCTGCAGTGGATCTAGATCGTTACAGCTTAAGGATTCCTTAAGCCTCTTAATACATCATTAGGTATTTTCAACCCAACTTTACCTGTGTTTAGAGTCATAATCCTACAAGATTAAACTTGAACTATTATTTCCATAATGCAGTGAAGTGTTTCAACAACTTCTCTAAAAGAGCTAAGAGAAACCATTCAGCTAACGTAAATGGAAGCTGAAAAGAAATCCCAACGGTTTACAATATCAAAAGCCAGCAGGAGCCCCACCCTTCCGGGGATCACTTACCGCTATGAGCTTCCCCACGCCACCACCTTGTCTTGGTGAGCCAAATTTTTGAACAATAAACTGGCAAATTGTCCCTCCTGCAAGGCCTTCTAAGACATGACCCTTCTTAGCAAGGGCTGCCCTTGTTTGAGCAGGAACTTCAAAATGGTCTCCTAACACGGTCGTCCAGTTCTCATAGGTCAAAACGTTTGGAATCAGCTGTTTGTTTTGAACAATTTGTATTAGTTTCCAATGTTCAGATTGCACTTTACTTTCCAAATGACTACTAGCAGTGTAAGAATGTCTGAATTAGGTGAATTGACGGGAAAATGTTGAGGTTGTTGGGAGAGAGTCCCACATTCACTAATTAAGAAAACGATCATGAGTTTATAAGTAAGGAATACTATCTCTATTGGTATAAAACTTTTTGGAGAAACCAAAAGTAAAGTCACGAGAGCTTATGTTCAAAGTAGATAATACTAAACCATTATGGAGAGTCATGATTCCTAGCAGAAACGATATGAGATAGAGAAGGGAAGATATAAAACAAACCCGATGATAAACTCTGGGAGCCATCACAGATGAGAACGGATCCATTCCTTTTGCAAAATGATTCAACACAACCTCTGCTGTTCCTGCAATGATGAAGCCTCCTCCACTTGCACCAACCACACCTTTCAGCTGTCCATTCTGTGCAAGAATTCCACAAAACTTTTCAATTCATAAGACACTTCTAAAGCAAAAAATGAGAGAAATTAGAAGGAAAAAAGGACCTTCAGGACAATAGCCGGAGACATGGATGATAATGGCCTTTTCCCTGGCCTGATGAAATTGGATGGTGCTGGCGGGAGTGTATTAGCAGAAACATTAGCAGGGACAGAAAAATCATCCATTTCATTGTTCAAGATTATTCCAGTACTTGGGGAGAGTATCACTGCTCCAAAATAGTAGTTCACAGTGGTAGTCATGGAGACAGCGTTTCGTTCTCCATCGACGACCGACAAATGACTGGTGCCATGGTCGTAAATTGGATTCCATCTGTTAGAACACACGATAAAGAGGAAAGACTTGGAAAGGTTTCACAAAGATATGCTAGAACAGAAAGGAAATACAAACGAGGGAAAGTGAAGTAATATATGAAGGAGCGCCAACCTGCCGCCGTAATGGCTTGGATCAAAAGTCCTGTTGTCATTGATGGTTTTCTTTAACTTTCTAGCAAACTTGGGCGAAAGCATGTCGGAAAGAACTTTGGAGACATTGTAGAAATTGGGGTCGCCAAGGTTAGTTCTCACGGCTGCTACATGTTTCAATGCTTCAATCTCCCGATGGATGCCAAGAGGGCCCATAAGCCCTGAAGGCAGTTTATATTGAGCCAGAATATTAAGCATCTGCAGCAGAATATGTTATTACTAACAAAACAAACTTAAAAAACAACTGCTTCTCGAGACAAAAAACTTACAAGGATCAATCCAGAACCTCCTGAAGGAGGAGGCATGGTGATTATCTCATGACCCATTGTACGGGCTGAGATGGGGACTCTTATTTTAACTCGATAGCTCTGCAAGTCCTTCATTGACAGTATCCCTCCAAGCTTCCTGATATCTCTTATCAAGTTAACTCCAATCGATCCATTATAGAAGGCCTGGACACCAAATCTAGAAATAGTTCTTAGAGTTTGTGCAAGTTTCTTGTTGCGGATAACATCTCCCGGTTTCAACAATTTTCCGCCTGATGTAAACAAGTTCCTGAGTCCTTCATCTCCCAAGATTCCTGCTTCTGTTTTAACCATCTGCATATGAAGGTATGGAGATATTTTAAACCCCAAGCGAGCAAGACGTTCAGCTGGTTGAACAAGCCTTGCCCATGGAAGCTTTCCATATTGTTTCCAAGCTTCGTGAAGTCCAGCAAGTTCCCCTGGAACGGCAATGGAAAGGGCTCCGACTGCTTTCGATGCAGCATTGCTGGCATACATATTCTGTTCATATGTGAAAAGAGATTTAAGAGACTGATTGAATGATGGCACTTGGATAAATGAAGTACCATCAAATTGTGACCAAATGTCACCCACAAGACTTTTTAAGAATACGTTCGTGCAAGTATAAAAAAATGTTCAGAAAAACATGGACCAATCAGATTCACAAGATAATGAAGACAGGAATTAACAGACACCACTATATCTCAATTCTCATCAGCATTAGACCCAAGAGCTTAAGCCATAAGAACAGAAGGCTTCGTACCGTTAACTGGTAGCTGACATTTTTAGCGCCACCAAACGCCCAATGCACTATCACAAATTTTAACTTCAGAGATAAATGAATAGTACGAGCTTTCCAATAACAATTAAATGAGCAAGATTATATGGTTATGGTCCTTCTTTCTTCCTTAGAAAACAGATTAAATTGGAAAATCTAACAAAGGAAATGAAACAAGTGGAGTCAAGTTACAGGACCTCATGAGCAAGCAAAGGTGCAGTCTCCCTCATATCGAAAGCCTGAGATTTTCCACTGGCCGACCTGATCAGCATAAAGGCTCCTCCACCAATGCCACTTGATGCGGAACTTACAACCCCCAAGCAAAGAGCAGTAGCAACCGAAGCATCAACTGCATGGCCTCCTTCCCGTAGAACATCCATACCAATTCTGGAGCATCGAGAGTCATCTGCGGCAACAGCACCATGGCTTGCAACAATAACCTCAGGCCGAGCAATGGAAGTGGGAGTCAGCAGCGCAATAGAAACAAGAACAATTATAAGCCACCGCATCAACATTGCTGCAGCCACAAATGCAAACCAGTTTTGATTTCTCAGTCAATACTACTAATCAGCTTGATTTATAACCAAAATAAAAAATGTAAATCACCAACAACAGCATATACATCGACCGACAGTTTCTGGCCAGTCAAAGTATGATTAAAAAACATCTCACAGGAAAAACACTTCTTTTAAAAAACATATTTTTTTAAATCAGCACATTCGACGATGACTAAAAAATTATGCCAGCAGTTAAATAAATCAAATAATTTTGGTATCTATAACGTGAAACACGGTTCCGTTGGCCATGTTTCGTTCGTGGCTGGAAGAGTACAAGCTTAAATAGAATATACAACTAAAGATATTGGTGTATTTGTTGACTTTATAAGTTTATTTGGCAGAAGAATTTGAAAACTGGATTTGATATGGAAATTCTTGTTTGGTAGTAAGTTGGAAAACAATTTTTGGTAGAATCTACCATCTTAGAAGTTACCATAGAGATGGGATGATTAGAACAAGTGAAAGAGGAGGCTTAGAAAGAGAGGGATGCTTAGAGAGATGGGAACAGAGCATATGAATATAGAGAGAAACAAAGATGCTCATACGATTAATTATTTGATAAGATCATCACAATGTGATCGTCCGATTTTACGGTTGGATCAGATGTACATAAAGAAGGACCTTAAATGTGTATCTAATAGTAATTAAGTGCATGTAAAATACTGAATTTACATCCAACAGTTATTATGAGTAGCGAATTTGTTTACAATTTCCTATCCAGATGATCGAACACCAGTAGGATGCATTCAACTATCCTAATAAAGTCTTATCAGTTTTCTCAAAAGAGAACTTCTACTTTTTGAAAACCTATCCAAATTCCAAGTGTCCATCATTGAATATAAAGCACAGAGCCCGTGAGAATTGATCGATCAAACAGTTTTAGAAAAAGGGGCGTCCCACGTTACTCACTTGGCATTTATTGGCTAAATAAGACGAATGAGCTCGAATCCACCTTTTCCTGATGTTTTCTCGTTTTCGTCGTCGTTTAATTCAGCATCAGCTTTGATTTTCCTGCCAGTTGAAGAGAGAAAAAAGAAAAAACAATAATCGCAGTGAGATACTTACATTGAATTGGGCGAAATATAGGAACGGATGAGTCCTTTTCATAATCGACGACTTTGATGACAATCTATGGTATCTGTTTTTGATCAAATGAATAGAGATTAGGGACCAGAATTCCATTAAAGCGACTTCGTGGAAGTTTACTTTACCTTCTAATTCCTGCGCTCCACGTTTCTACCGCTGTTAGTTTCAGATCAGGTTCCGAAATTTCAAGGGGCAGAGCCATGATCCTCAGTATCCAGAGGGGAAGAGCCATTAACCGATTCTTCCACTACCTTGCCGCCATTTTTATCTCTCGTGAACTTTGAACAGTTTAAATAACCTTTTTTCCTTTTTATGAAATTATTTAAAGAACATAAAAAAAACGTAAAATTGACCAAAAACGGTTTGAATATTTTTTTTTTGCCAAACTCTATATTTTTGTAAATAGATAAATTTGTTTCTTTTATTTTAAATTTTTACTCAAAGTGGGAGTTTCATTATCTAAATTAGCTGACTTTCGTCATCCAACACCTTCTTTCAAACAAATGAGGCTTGACTACTTTTTCTTTTGGAGTTTTTACATTTGAGGATTTTCCAATCTACTGGCACAACTAAGTTTAGGGCATGACTTTGATACTCGGTTAGAAGAACACGACCCTCCATAATGGTACGATATTATCCATTTTGAGTATAAGTTCTCATGACTTTGCTTTAGGATCTCTAAGAGGTCTCATACAATAAAAATAGTATTTTTTTTATTATAAACGGATTGCCTTGTAATTTTTATCATCCGAGTTATTCATAGATTTAAAAAAAAGTGATGTTTTCTCAAATTTATATTATATTTAATTCGACTTATTTTTTTCTTTCTGTACTAATATATCTAAATTTTCCTATTAATAGGGATGAAACATAAGAAAATAAATTAAATTTTATTATCAAATATTTGATAAAAAAATGTATAACTTAAATTTAGGAATTTGACAAAGAAAAAAATTTAAATGTACTTTTTTATTTAATTTAGTCATTTTATTTTAACACGAGATTAATAAATAATTACAAATGTATGTACAATAGATAGTACATTGATACAATTATTGAAATTACATTATATTATTTAAATTAAGAATATTATTATTTTAAAGTGCATGACAATTAAATAATATATTTCAGAAGTATCTGGACTATGAAATAAAATTAAACACTGTAAGCAAACAGAATATTTTATGTTTTTTTTATTTAAGAGAATGGACCCGACTCGACCCGACCCGTTTATGCAATTTTAAAATCTCACTTTAATAATTAATTATTTTTAAAAAATTATGTATACTTTAGAATTTTTTTTTTATATTACTTGGTTGGACTGAATTTCGTTTGGGCTTATTTCTGCTTGACGCGGCCCAGTTTGGGATTGTAATATCCGTTCTATTCATTATTACATTCAAATTAACATCTTTCCCCGCCCGATTTTCCCCACGTCTTAACTCGCTCCTCGCCCGGAGCGGAAGAGGAGGACATCACCTATTTCGCGGCGGTACACCGGCACGGTTTAGTCCTATATTCCTGTCTCCAGTGGTTAGCTTTCGTCAAGTTTTGGAAACCAATTGGTAGGAATTCAGGTTATTTAGACTTTGATTTGTATTTGTTTATGTCAATTATCACTGCGAACTCCAATTACTGTCATTATGCACTACATCTAGGGGTTTGGAAGTTTTTGATCTGTTTTCAATTTATGAAAATCCAGTGACGAAGTGTTTGGATTCGTTTAAGAATGCCGCACAGTGAGTAGTCCAGAAGATTCAAGAGAGACTTGTTGCGGAACATGGCGAGGCGAAAGGCGAAGAAAACTGTTAAGAAGTCTAGCCCTAGGGAAAAAGAAAAGGACGAAGCAGAAAATGAGTTAAAAAGTGAGGAGCAAGAACCTTTGGTCTCTGACGAGGACGGTATGTTGAAATTGATTCTTATTTTCCGAAGCCTGAACTTATTTTTGGGAAGGAAAATTGTTTTGCGTCTCTTTCAATGACAATTGTTCATTGAATTTATATTTTTCCGCTGCTTTTGCCTTCATTTGTGTATAGTTGAACGACATGCTGCTGCAATTCGCGCCATTCGGGATGTGGAGATCGAGCGTTTGATTACTGAATTGCGCTTGCTTCGTTCGTATTTCAACAAAGAGCAATTGCAAACTCCTCTATTGCAATTTTTCAAGGAGAAACTTCCAAACTTGTCCATTTCTGGAAAAGGCGAAGTAGGAGAAATTGAAGTACAGTGGAAGGAAACTGAAAGTGAATTACGCGCCAATCCAGTTGATGGAATGGATGTACACGCTTCTCTCTTACAGCGTCTGTCCATAGCTTATCCTAACTACTCTGCTGGAATGCGATCTTTAAATGGATTTGAATTTTCCAGTAAATCAGGTATATGTAGATTGTGGATTATGGTGCATAAAACGAACTGCTAAGATGCTCCCTTATTTGATGCTTGTTTGCTGCAACTCACCGTATTTTCTCTACTGGTGGCAGTGAAAACCAATCCTTTCAATGTTGAGAGCCTGCAAATTCCGAGCTTGGTAAGTAATTTTGCGTTTGATACCTTAAACTCTTTACTTCGAATTCTCTTCTTTAGATCAGTAAAATGAATGATACCATGTGAGCTCACAAAATTTGTTTTAGTTTGTCTATGTCTATTGTTTCATGTTGTTTATTTGGTGAAGCTGAAGATTGTCCTCTCGTCGGATGGTCATTCATAAGAAGATGCTCGGTATTGACTGATATATTTATTGATAATTCCTGCATTTTAGGTTTTGGAGGCAGAGCCCTCGGATAGTATGATGCTTGGAATGACAGATATTCTCCAAACTCCTGGGGTTAGAACTTCACGTTTTTGCACACCACTTATTGCATTAACTTCGTCTTGTTAATACCCTAGAGTTGTCTGTTATTGGTATTTTCCAGTATTTGTTACATTGTTGTTGACTCAAATCTAGGTACATAGTGGTGGTCTTGGTCAAAGGAACAAAGTTACTGTATTGGTAGCGTCTGTTTTCCATTATTCATTTTTATTTTTATGTTCTATGCTTATCTCATTTCAATATATATAAGAAACAATTTGATTGACAGAATGAAATTTAGAAAACAATTCAGGGAAAGTCTTGACCGGAGGTGCAAAAATGAATTGCAACGAGTACAAAAGTTAGTAAGGCTATGACTAGAAAACAGCTTGAAGTTTATTACACTCAGCTTCGCGAGGTCTCATGGGGAATTGTTTCAAAAAAGTCTTCTTTATCTCTTTTGAAAAAGATCGAGTAACATGTTTTGATAATTGTTTCTAAGAGTCTAATTTTGCTTTTATTTAGTGTATTCTACAATAAGCTAACTAGTTCTGCTTTCATAGGTAAGTAACCAAAGATTGTCCATTGGAATGACACCGAGAACCCGAAGGCTTCCAAAGCCCGGTGAGATGCTTGTATCTATACACGGATCCCCCCTTGGTGTTTATAAGGAAGACAACATGGAAGCAATACATGGTACGTACATATAGGTCATATGTAGACAATGGAGCGTTTCGACGCTTTAATTTGGAACTGTGAATATGTAGGCCAAATAAGTTGGTGGGTATATATACATTTATCATACTTCTGCATGTTTCTAATACATAAATTAATGTGCAGAATCAGATGAGGATTGATTAGCTCTGATTTGAGGCCACTTGACAGCTTGTCGAATGTAAAATTTCAAATTTCTATCTACCTTTTTGTATTGTATCCAACATTTTGATTACTTTCATATTAAGAGCGACTCGTACAAGGTGTATAACTAATTTTAGTGTTACTTTACTCAAAGAAACGAGTTAAAGGTTATGATATCTGGTTTAATTTGATTGCTTTTTATATGATCATCCCGTTTTTACCATATGCATCCATCACTCCATTATGTGTATATGTATCAGCTGAAACAATGCTCTTGTCAAGATCTTTAAACAATGCATCAACTTGTTCCACTTTGAACAAACGCTCTAGTAAGAATGTTGTAAGTAACAATATTTGGCTTACATCGTTCCATTCCCTTCATGTTCTCAAAGTACCAACGAACTTTAGCCAAAACCTTTACTTTGTCCTTGGGAATGAAGATGCGATGTTATAATTGCATGGTAAACAGAAGTATCTAGTTGTACACCGCCCAATATTTGGCTCTGATACCATTTGTAACAGCTCAAACTCACTGGTAGTAGATATTGTCTGTTTTGGCTCGTTACGTATCGCCGTCAACTATATGGTTTTAAAACGGTCTACTGGGGAGAGATTTTCATTCTTATAAAGAATATTTCGTTCCCCTCTCCAACCATGTAGGGTCTCACATAGGCATTCGATTTTGGCCCTTTCCTTCTCGAAATAGATATTAGTCTAGAACAAACCCCATCATCCGCTGTATACCAATGTTGTTTCTGCATCCATCTGAAGACCTGAAAATGAAATACATCATTAGAACACTCATGACCTCTCTCAATAGCAGAATTTTGCTTGCTTAGTCTCACCCAGAAATGACACTCGTTCTTTATCCATGCCAAATAGAACTTGAAATCAATCAACTCTGCCTGTGAATAATTTCATCATTACCCATCTTCTGGCACTCAACAGACAGCAAAAACAGTTTAAAAAATCAACACCCAGAGGCCCAAATTCAGAGTTCATATAGGAAGAATAGCGAACCTCGAGGCGTAATAGTCCAATGTCTTGAGCAATGGTTCTTTGTCGCTGAACTTTCTAATTACACCGCGAACCAGTTCTTCAGCCTCCGACCTGTCCGTCTTCGCCGCAGATTTTCTCTTGGGTCCAGTCGAAATGCAGACCACTCGGGTCGCAACGGCCATCCTCAGGGACGATGGGAGTGGAGCTCATGGCTGAAACAGAACTAAGAAAATATTGTTCGAAAAAAAAAGAACAAAAAATTGAACCCGACGTGAATCGAACACGCAACCTTCTGATCTGGAGTCAGACGCGCTACCATTGCGCCACGGATCCACTTGTTGATAACCCCGCTAACAAAAATTTATATATATTTTTATTTTATTATGATGACAGTCCTTTTTTTATTTTTTTCATGTGACCATTTAATTATGTTAATTTATTATTAAGCTCGAGATCCTTGATTAAAAAACAAAATAACATAATGGATTTTTTAATGATAAAATGCAGAAAAAGTTTCTTATAATTTTGTTACAAAAGGTCTTATATCAATGAACGTGAGAAGCTATTTGCATTCCCAAATAATTAAATTTTATTTATTAAATCATATGTATGTTAAAATATGAATAATACGTCTACGAAATAAGGATGTTATTATAAGTTCCTAGAATTGAATAGGAAGTGGAGATGGAGACGAAAAAAGGTTGGATCAAATGAAATGAAAATGAGAAGAGGCAGACATTGAAAGTGAGCAACATTTTCTTCAATTAACATCATCAAACTGAAACCTTGTAGGGAAAAAGAAAAAAATCAATGGATGGCTTGGCTTGGCTTGTCCATTTACAAGAAAATTTCATGGAGAGAAAAAAATGGTGACAATTAGCCCAAAATCAGGAGGCTGAAACAAATACGAAGTGAAAAAATAGGAAGCAAAAACAATTGGGTCGAGGAACGCGGAAAAAACTAATTCCAAGACGCATGTACACAAGGGGGGGGGGGAGGAGGAGGAGGTGGGTGGATGATGGAAGATGATCAAACAGATATAGCGCATAAATCATCCAAGACTTGTCTGATGTTAGGCCTCTCATTTACAGGGAGAATGCACCTGAGGGACACACCCAGCAGTTCATCCATGGCTTTCGTAGGCTCTTCTTCTCCGACGACGATATCTCTGTCTATGCAGTCCATTCTTCGTCCTTCTTGATCGCATAGACGAACCCAATCGGTGAGATCTACAGCCCCAGATTGGCCTGATATTATGTCGCCTGCACTTCTTTTGGTTAAAAGCTCCATTAAAATCACCCCAAATGAATAAATGTCAGCCTTGAAAGATGGACCAGGTTTTGCCGCACAAGCCAGTTCTGGAGCACAATATCCAAGTGCTCCTAGATTTAGTATCTGCTCCGCAATGCCTGCTGGTGTCATCAAGCGATGAAGGCCATAGTCAGTGAGCCGGGCATCAAAATCACGGCCTGCCAAGATTATATTTGTTGGCTTTAAGTTTCCATGGGGGAGGCCCCTATCATGAAGATATAACAGACAGCGAGCGACTTCCACTGCAATTTTAAGTCTCTGGCTGAACGACAGCCGAGAGTACCTTCGAGGTGTGGTTTCTGCCAAAATCGAAACAAACACAATGAATCATTAGAACACACAGTAGTAGTCTTGGAGAGAGTCTGATTGCAAGTGAAAATATGTCTGCAAGTCGTATACAAGCACGTGAAGGGTCGCGCTATTCTAGTGTTTATTAAAAAAAAAATTCCACAAGTTCCTTGCAAACTTGGCAGGAATTCATGTTGCCAAGCGCAAGCTAAACATTCTTGCGCCCATTATAAACAAGATACAAGTATAATAAGAACATAGAGACAGCATCCAAAACAGGCCATTTTCAATTGTTGTACGGTCATTCTTTCAAAGATAAATGCAAAAAATCCCATTAAAACTGTACGAAATTCGGGTGCACAGAGATCGGAACACCTTCAAAGATAAGTTTAGACGTTATTAGTAGTTTGTCGAATCTTGCACCGTTTACTATCAACTACACAGGACGACGGGCACTAAAATTCAGCAGTTTAATTTGAAAGAAGAAACTATCCTGGTCAAGTGCAGTTCCATACAGTCAGCAACAGTAAAATATATAGGAAAAAAGAATCCAAACATGATAAGAAAGTTCCAACACTCTTACCGTAAAGATGTAAGGCTAAGCTATCTCCCAAAATATAGTCAACTAGAAGAAGCCGCTCTTGTTCTCTGGGACCCCAATAATAAGCTCGTAAAGGAACAATGCTTTTATGCCTCATTGATCCAATTTTTTTAACTTCCTTGGCAAATTCCTTCTTATGTTTGACCAGTCCGACACGTAACCACTTAACAGCGAGCATATGTCCACTATCGAGAGTAGCTTTATATAGTGTTCCATGACTGCTTCTACCAAGAACTTCAGCCGGAGCTCTGGATAATTCCTCAGCAGTGAATAGCAGTGAATTGTCTAGAAAAAACAACTCACCAGCTAATCGATCTGGTGAATACACATCTAGTGTCGCAGGTTGTTCACGCCCATCGACAAACTGGTGTGAGGAAGATAGTGGGGGATCTGGGGAGGAGTTTCTCCCAGAAGTAACGGGATGATCATCGAGCAAATTAGGAATAATCATCGATGAACTTGTTGCAGCTCCTCCAGGTAAAACATGTTCCGAAATCTCAGATAAGAATTCTGCTTGCCCTGATAATGATCTTGAAGTGGAGGTTAGTAAATGATCATTTGACAAACTTGAAGAGGTTGGTGGAGGCTGATTGTTTGGTTGAAATTTGAAAAGAGAAGGCCCGAAATGTTCTATCTTAATGTCCCTCTCAGCACCTTGGCTGCTAAATATACTTCTTCCATGGAAATCTTTAAGTTGTGCTCTATGATAGGCCAGTAAAAGAAAAACAATCATCACAACTGCTCCAACTGAGGCAAGAATAATAGCTATTTGGATGTTAGCTTTAGGAGTACGATGTCTTCCCGGCTCGGAGAAATTATTTGGAATCGTGTTCTGAGGACCTATATCTTCTGGTAAGCTAAGCTTACCATTTCCAGGACGAAATGATGAGATAGGGAAGTTTCTTAAATTCTCTGGAACGTCACCTGAGAGATCATTGTAGGACACGTTAAAAACAAGTAGATTGGGAAGCATATCCGGGATTTTACCGGTAAATTTGTTGTTTGATAAATCAAGATACTCCAAGTTACTCAATCTGTTCAATTGATCAGGAAGCGATCCTGATAATTCATTCTTGGCAAGATTTAGCAATTTGAGCCTCACCAACTTATCTATCTCAGCTGAAATCCCACCAGTCAAGGAATTATTGGATAGATCAAGATATTCCATTGGCGGGTCTGAAGGTTTAACTAACAACTCACTAACACTTGAGCCTTGAAGGGGAATGGGACCCGTAAACCGGTTTCCTGAAAGATTAAGGCTGATCAAGGTAACAGATGATAAGAAACTAGCAGGGATCGTACCGCTAAGAGCATTTAAACTGAAGTCAACAGCATATATACTAGGAGAGCTCCCCAATGTAAACGGCAAAGGGCCAACTAAGAAATTATTTCTGACATTAAGCACCTTTAATCCCTCAAAGAAGGAAGTTGAGTTTGGGAAACTTCCTGAGAATTTGTTTGAACTTAAATCAAGAACCTCAAATTTGGCTTCCCAATTCTGCATAATCGATATATCGCCAGATAAAGCGTTGGATGAAAGATCCAAAAATTTCAAAGTAGACGAGTTGACGTGAAGAATCGAACCTGCAAGGCAAATAATGAATCGCGTTCAGAAAAAGTAACAAACATAGTCACAGATGACAGTGTATGTTCAGAAAATCAAAGTTCGAATTCATATCAGACAATAAAATTGGCCACAGAGTCTTCATCATATAGTAAGAAAGATAATCTAAATGATCCTTTCTTGAAACCTGTTGAACTGAATTAGATTATCTATGAACTCAACTTCATCGTTCATGTGACTTACTGATTTCAGGCCAAACATCACCAAAAACATCAAAAAGGAAAATAAAAACCATGATAGGAGATCTAAGTTGAATGCACCATCTAACAGTCAATCAATCTCCAGGGAACCATAAATAGTGGGGAAATAGTAAGACAAAGCGATTCTTTACCTGTAAATGCATTGCCACTA